GCCGAGGCAACTTTGGTGATGACGGACACGTGGCCTTAGGCATGAGTTAGGGTTTCCTAAATTTTCCAAAATAAAATATTTAGGTGGCGACTCTGTATTTGGCAAAGCAGTCCATGTTTGACACTTCTTTATAAAAATCAGTTTTCCAAAACGATTTGTCGGATTTGGACTCTTTGGTGATTTATCGGTCTTGCATTGCACTTTGCGAGATTAGATTCAGAACCGTGACATTGAATCCGAACTGTAGCAGCTAAGAACAAAACGATTTCGCGCCTTCGCGCACGAAGCCGGGACGTTCGGGCACGTCTACAGTACATAAACATCATTTTTTTTCCCATCATATCCATGCTTTGCATTCATGTTTCATCCTTCTTGATTCGACTAGGTTTGCATTTATGGGTTTAATTAATTCTTATGTGATTATGTGCGCTGTTCTTGAGATGATTCACATGTCATATATTAGAAGCCAAATCTTTAGTTGCATTTCATGAGTGAATTGTATTAAGATTTTGTAGATAAGATGTTTTACTAACTTTGTTTTGTAACTGTTCACGGACGTCGGTAAATATGTAAGTTTTTATGCTTTAGTATCCCGCTTGTGTGTATTTTTCTTACTATGTTTAGCATCCTACCATAAGGCTACTTGCTTATTTGATATAACTGTATGAATGCCGGTGGATGGAGGTTGTGTCGCTTAATTTGGAATGATGTTGGTTTTAGTGTTTGTACACTCTATTTCTTTGAGTTGTACATCTTCAAAAATCTTTCAAGACACACGAAATCAAGTTGTTCCAAAATAAATAGCATAGTCTATACTTGTTTGCTTCACATAGTAAATTTTAGGATAAGTAAATTGGAATATGAACATATAAAGTAAACAAAACTCATATCATAGTTTAGTAGAGGCCAATCTTTGATTGGGTGAGTGGGGGTGCTCAATTAAAGACCTTCCCCTCTCAAACCTAAGATTCCTAACCAAGCATCTTTGCTTACGACGAACAGTGACCTTGACACGAGTCACAGGTTTCCTAATTTGTCCAAAATATTAGGTGGCGACTCTAAGATCTGGTGATGTTGTCCATTTCTATCCAAGGTTTTGTAATAAACACTGATTTTCTATAAAAGTTTCCAAATATGGACTCTCATCTATGTTTCGCATTGCACTCGTGAGGCTAGATCAAAGAAATCGAGGGTCTGAACTGTTTAACACGCACGGGTACCTCCAGGGCATGTTACACTGATCATCAGTCGAGTATGCCACGGTCGTTGTTGAGGAAGAAAATAAATTACTTGATGTTGGGGCAATACGAGAAATGACTTATCCTACTTGACTATCCAACACGGTGGTGGTGAAGAAGAAAACGGGAACATGGAGGGTTTGTGTTGACTTTACAGATTTAAATAAAGTTTGTCCGAAATATTGTTCTTCTCTCCCCTACATTGACCAACTTGTAGATGCCACGACGTATCATCAAAGGATTAGTTTTCTAGATGCTTATCGGGGCTATCATTAAATCGCCATGGACCTTGCCGATCAAGAAAAAGCAGCGTTTCTCACTCCAATGAGGACTTATTATTATAAGGTTATGCCCTTTGGATTGAAAAACTCCGTATCAGAGGTTGGTTACCACTATGTTTAAATATCAACTTGGCAAAACTATGGAGGTATACATTGACGACATAGTGCTCAAATCCAAATAAAATGGTGCCCATTTGGCCGATCTTGTGACTACTTTTGATATATTTCAAAAGTACAAGATAAAGCATAATGCTTTAAAATGTGCATTCAGCATCGATTCAAGTAAATTCCTTAACTACATTGTAAATCATCACGGAATAAATACCAATCCAAAGAAAATTAAGGCTATAATGGAGCTCAGCTCTCCTAGGAGTGTGAAAGAGGGGCAAAAATTGATGGGGATGGCCACTGCACTTAATCGATTCATCAGCTAATCTTTCGATCGATGTAGGCCTTTATTTCAAACTCTTCGTTAAAAAAAGTTGTTTAAGTAGACTCCAAAGTGCCAAGAGGCTTTACCTCGGCTCTGCTTCATTGTCGACAACTCTAGAGTCAAGGGATGAGCTTATTTTGTACTCGGCAGTATCGGATCATGCCGTGAATACCATCCTTCTTCAAGATGAGCTCGGCGAGCAGAGATATATTTTTTACATCAGCAAAACAATGGTTGATACGGAAACTAGGTATCTACCTTTGGAAAAGTTGATCGTAGCCCTCGTTGAAGCCACCAAGAAATTGCTGCATTATTTCTAAACCTACACTATTAAAGTGTTGATCAATCACTCCCTTCGTTCAGTGCTTCGCTGGACTAAATCGTCAAGACGAGTGTCCAAATGGGCCTTGGATTAGGCAATATGACCTTAAGATTTTGCTCAAGTCATCCATCAAATGAGAGGTCATCGCCAATTTCATTGCTGAATTCACAAAACCAACGGCACTTGATTATGAGAAAAGTGCATCGAACCAACTGGTTGCCTCCTTATGAATAGCGAATGTACGTCAGCAACATATGGTAGTTGTATTATGATGCTTTGTCAAACTAGCGCGGCAATGGGACATGAGTAGTAATTATAGCCTCGAAGGGAGTAGCAATTGAGCAATCGGTTAAGCTTGGCTTCAACGCATCAAATAACAAAGCCAAATATGAAGCCCTCCTTGTCGGCTTGAGGAACTCACTCCAGATAGGGGCCAAGCATTTGCAAGTGTACTACGACTCCAAGTTGGTCATTAATCACCTGAAAAGTGAATAAGCTGCGAGAAATGATCGAATGACGACCTACATACGAACGGCCAAAGCCTTACTAGAAAAACTTGCTAGCCATAAGTTAACTCAGATAACTCAATATCAGAACATGCATGCTGACGTTTTGACATATTTAGTATCAGTAATTAACTTGGAGGTGAAACACGTGCCGATGGAGCTAGTTGTTCTGACCATCTAGTGAAGTCCGAGTTAGATGGATCATATCTCTGCATTTTTAACTTCTAAATAACTGTTGGAGGACAACAAAGAGGCCTATAAACTACGCAACAATGGCCTAAAGTATTATCTTGACCCTGAAGGGCAATTATACAAGAACTTTTTATCAAGGCCCTATCTTGAATGTGTCCCTCCAGACAAAGTGGAAAACTACCTGACGGAAATTCATAAGGGCAGCTTAAGGTGATTTATAAGACCAAATAGTTTTCTTTTGAAAAATTGCATTTCAGTAAAATATTGGAGAAATTATTTTATTTTATTGGTGGTGCAAGTATCTTGTGTGTAGTAGTGGTACTGCATCCCTCTAATTTTGTACCCCTAATAAAAAAGTTCACATCCATATGAAGTGGTCCCATATTTTGAAGAAAGTTGATTGATTGTTATTGCTTGTCACATCATTAGCGATGCAACTGGGGTGATGAAATGGGAAGATAGGGCATTTCTCCTTATGTGTATAGGGTGAAAGTCCATTCCAATGATTGGTGCAAGTTGCAACTACAGAGATTCTCATCTGTAATACAATTATTTTGTAACTATCCCATTTATTTACAAATTGCCAATTCATTTTTATGTTCAAAGCATACGTAGTTTAGGACAAATCTTTTATATCTATACGTGGGAGCCGAATAATGGGCAGAGTCAGAAGCGTACGCTTCGAAGGATGGACATTTGTTCAGCTCTAACCTGCACAATTAGGAGACCGACTACAATTAACAGGCCGAGTAACTATGGGGCCGAATAAATAAGCAGTTTGAGAGCGAAAAGTGAACCAGGCCCCGAGGCCCTGGAAACAAGTATAAATAGAGGAACAACAGTCAAAGAAAGGTATGTGAGAACTATTAAGCTTAACTTAGAATACAAGTAATCCTGAGTGCAGAGACTAACTTAACCGTCGGAGTGCTAATTTCGGCACTCCCTACCGGAGTGTTCATTTCCTTTCAGGTGTCTATTCGAGGATCAGGAGCGTCCCCCAGGATTAGAAGAGTATTCTTAAACCACTTCTCCACAATTGGTGCTGTCTGTAGGAATACTCAAACACATCCATGGCGAGCGTAACGGAAGCCTCTGATAGTCACTAATGAAACCACGTAGAAAGACGACCTCACTCCAACAAACATGCTTGAACCAGAGACTATCCCCATAAGACGCACTTTGAACTTCGCCTCACCCTTGACTCCAGAACATGAAACAATGCAAGCGATCATGGAACAAGCAAAGCAAAACGAACAAAGGTTGGAGAACATGATCACAGAGAACGAACGTCTCTGTCAGGATTTGGCCTTGGAGGTGGCGAAATCCAAACAGGCTATACACTAACGCCCGGAACGACCTGTGAGGGAAGGTGGTCGACGATCTCGAGCCCGACAACAAGACACTGATAGCAACTCCGACTCATTATCCCCGAAGCCCAGGAAGAAAAGACAATTTGAAACTTTCACTTCTTCTGAAGAGAGTCCCCGTATAAAGCATAAGCGAAGAAAAAACAGTTCGGATGAAGATCAACACGATCCTTTTGTACGACGGATTGCAAAGGCAGTGCTACCCAAGAAATTCAAAGCACCGTCATTCACCTTGTACGACGGTAAATCAGACCCCCCCGATCACATCCGCCATTACAAGCAAGCCATGACACTGCATGCAGATAACGAGGCTTTGATGTGCAGAATATTTCCGAGCAGTTTGGGATCATTAACTGTCAGGTGGTATTACAAACTGGAGCCGGCTTCGATTAAAAGCTTCCACCAACTCCAAAAGTCCTTCAGGGCAAGGTTTATGACTAACGAGGTCCAGCCAAAGCAAGTCGATTCCCTCTAGGCAATGCAGATTCAACCGAGGGAAACCCTTCGCGCGTATTCGGCGCGATACTGGGAATGTTTTAATCTGGTAGACGATGCTTGCAATCATTCCATGGCTATCACTGCCTTCAAGATGGGGCTGCATCCCGACAGTGCCCTCCGCAGCTCTTTGACCAGACAGCCCCCTAAAATAGTTTGGTCGTTAATGAAGAAAGTTAAAGAGTACTGTACGGTGGAAGATGATGCCTTGCGGGTTAAAGCTGGAAATTTGCCCAACAAGACGGCTTCTGCTGAAATTGCTCAACCGTTAAACTCTGTAGCACCTCAGAGCCATGAACCACGGCATCAGGCAAAACGAGATAAGAGACGGGATTCTAGCCGATCAAGCGACCACTGCTCCCACCGAGAAAGTGAACAACTGCAAGTTGACAGCAGGCGCACGAGGCGCGCCGACAAGAAGTATACGGAGTTGACAGAGCCGATCAGTGTGGTTATGTCCAAAACCCAACACCTTTCGTTCTTTAAGTGGCCGTCAAAAATGGTAGGACCTCCCGACACGAGAAGACGGAAATATTGCACTTTTCGGTAAACCTAGTAAGGACAAAGTGGAGATACATCGAAGGGAGGTGAACTCTTTGAAAAATACTTAAAAACATCTTATTTATAGGTTTGGAGTTGAAGGAAATAGGAGAGGATGGAAGAAAACTAGTTAGGGAGAAGGTCGAGCATCAAACTGTTGAGATAGAAATGAACAACCTTCACTAAATTAGGAATATCTCTTTGACCGCTTATAATTTAGATGTGAGGCCACCACCATTGGAAAATAGACTTCTGGGGCTTCAATTTAGACTCTGTGGAGATGTGGTTTGGAAATACTCTTCAGATCTTGGGAGACGCTAGTGATCCTCAGGTAGTCACCTCAAAAGACACAAACACTCCGGTCAGGGGTGCCAGAATTAGCACTCCGACGGACAAGTCAGTTCAGACACTCAGGATAGCTTGTTTACTAAGTTAAATGAAGTGATTCTTACCTACCTTTCCCAATCCATTGTTCCTGTATTTATACCTGTTCCTTTTGATCCTCGGGGCCAGGGCCTACTTTTTAATCATTGTCCTTTCTCTTATTCGACTCTAAGGATCCACACTTATTTGGCATATGTATTGAATTCGGCTTTCCATTCTCGTAGGATACAGCCGATTAATATCAGTCTTCTAAGGTACGCACCTTCTAATCTTGCCATTTATTCGGCTCCCACAAACTCAATAATCACCTAAAACCGAGTCCAGATGAAGGAGATATGCCCGTTTGAAGTCGAGCCCAGAATACAGATTTTTTAAGCTGGCCAGGTCCATTTAGATCCAGGCAGCTTTCAATGAAAACTTTTCCAAAGTGCCTTTTGGACCTAGCCTTGCATTATTTGGTCTGGTCGTGGGTTTTTTGGAGCCGGTTATGGTCATTTGGAGTCGGTCAGCTCTCAATGGCGATAAACAGGATAGCTGGCGGGAAATTGCCAGCTGTTGTTTTTTGAAGATATTTTTGACCAAATTGGCTCAAATTCGATAAATAGAGCCCCTGCATTTAGAATTGGGGGTTAACAAATTTTCCAAAGGCTTTGAAGAACTAAAAAGACCCATTTTCATCTTCAACACATTTCTTCACCTTCAAACCTTTTTCAACAATACAAACACAATACATACACTATTAGAGCTTGTCTTGGAGCATTTTGTTGAGATTTCAAACTAAATTTCAGAACCTTGAGGGTGTTTTGAATCAAGTTTGTTAACTAAGAGTCATCCTCTCTTTTAAGAGGTATAAGCTTGTCACCTTTTTCCTTACTTTCATTTCAATCTTTTTTCTATCTTTCTCTTGTGTTTCCTTACTGTTTTGGATCTACTCTAAGTGTTGGAATTTGGGGTTGAACTGCTACCAAAGGTAGAAAAGTTTAACCCCCTTTCTTGCACCTTATTTCATAGCTCATACCCTTTGTTCTTGCACTCTTTTCTTTGTTTTTTACACTAATTTTCAGAGTTTAAAAAGGCTGAAAAACATGGATTAAAAGTCTCAAAAGTGAGGGGGGTTAGCCACCTCTCCTTGATTTTGCTTACTAGCTTTATATCTCTTGCTTTTGTTTATCTTTTTGTGCTCTTTAAACACACTTTTAGCCACTGTTTTGGAGCTGTTCTTAGACTGTTTTGGGGCTGAAATATGTGATTTAAAATTACAAAAAGTGGAGGGGTTAGCCATCCCTCGTTAGGCTTTGTTCCATAGTTTTTTCTATACTCTTTTTACTTACTTTCACTTGCTTTTAGCTACTGTTGTTTACATTTTAGGGGCAGTTATAGGCTGTTTAATTCATTTAAATAGTTTATTCGTTAAATATCATACTTGTTGTGTTGTAAGTCCTCATGGCTTCGGTTGTTTAGGCCTTAGACACTGAGTCATTTGAGTTGATAACTTTATTTACTTAGTTTTCATGCGAAGAGTTTCATTTTAAATAATCAACTTCACAAAATAATTTCTGCACCCTCCCTCATTTCTTCTTTTCTTTTGTTCGAGGGCTGTTTCAAACAAGTGCTTATTGTTCAAGGCATGAGAAAGAGATCTACGCTCAATGGCTTAATCTTTACGGAGGTTCATCGTCAATGTATAGTCTCTCTTTCATGCTATGGATTACTTCTCGTTTGACATTTCTCTTTATTTAGTAGACTTAAACATCACTTTGGACAAATTAATTAAAGAATGGAAAGGACTAATAAAATCGGCTTAAAATGAACTAAACCAATATAAAGAAAATGTTTAGAGTTGGTTGGATTTGGCCGGACGTTATGTCAAGTCCATCGCTCCGAGAATTATCGCCTATCAATCCATGATACGTTGATAAGACTTAGAGCGTGTCTATTTCGCTCTTAGAACCTTCATGATAAGAGGGAGAGGTGGTCATTGTTCATAACATTTATCAATTTTGTCCAGACGTAGGTTGGGATCATAAAGCCATCAACTTGTGCTAATTGATGGTTTCGAATGCGAATTTGTTCTTCTCTTGGGTTTCACATGACAAAGAAGAGTAGGGAGGACAAACAGGGCCTAGAAAGGCTATGTCTGCATTGACCTCACCTCAGAGCACAAAACAGGTTTTGGCATGTGTAGACACCCCATTTTTGACCGACCTTAAGACTCAGACGTCACCGATTGAGCGCTTGGTGATGTTGCATAATGTGCTCGTTCAGAAATTTCAGAGTCGCGGCCGTAAGCCCTGCCTCCGGACTTCCGAACCCTTTTCTGTGCCTTGTCTCGGTTTGCGAACCAGACTCGGTTTTCTCTGTTTCTTTTCCTGAAGGGAGGGAGAGGTCCCGTAGACCATCTCTCAATGTCCGTAGGCTACATTTGGTGGCCGTAGGCCATTTTGCCCATTTCGGAGTCCGGTTCCCGGTTTTCGGAGCCGTCAGGCCGTGTGCCTCGGTTCGGGACCACCTAACCATCTCCGTTTGCTCTGATTTTTGGCATACATCCTATTTCATCCATTTTGAGGGACACTGAGGGCTGAGAAACCCACTTCGAGGTCAAATACAATTTTCGGTGCTTAACAGCCCATTTCCGGGACCCCGAACTACGTGTTTTGGTTCCGGAACATTCGTTTTGCAACGGTTTTCGCTCATTTTTGGCAGGTACCTCTGTTTTATCACAAGGAAGGTCACTGAAGGGTGGGAGGCCAGCAATTGTTGCAGCAACCAGTTATCTCTCCTCCCGAGCCTCCCGGCGCCCGTTTTTCGCACTTCCGGGCTAATGTTGAATACCTTAGGGGTAGTGTTGCCAACTTTCAACCACATATCTGTGATATGAATAACTTAGACTTATTATATGGCAAAGTTGAATTATACTTGCATATAATACAGTTGAACTAAGTTGGCAATGTTTCTGATTGAAACATGACGAATAACTTAGACTTATTATATGGAA